TATTAATCCTAACACGCCATCATTAATACAAGCAAGAAGGATATGAAGTTTCCATAATTGTTTTCGGTTGATCTGGGAGTATGTTATTTTCCTGGAGCTAGGTAGCATTTTGAAACTGCAAAGGATTAGACAGACACAATCAGTTCAAATATTTGTCCAGCCATTGAAAGGAGAAGCCTCACTTCCGCCTGTGCTGGGGATTTGGAAATCTCCATATCCATCATTGTTCAACAGCTAAGTGAAGATTGCACATTGATTACCCTTTCAGTTGCCTTTAAGCAGCTTATGTGAAATGCTAAGTTCTAAGTGGCCTAAAATCCCTGCTTTTTAATTTGTTCTCTGACTTGTATGCAGCAAGCCAAATCTTTGTGAGTTTATATGCATATATGCACACATGCATGCACACGCACACCCTGATCAAAACCAGGTCCTTCCAAATATGAATTATACAGAGCAGAGCTTAAAAAGGTACAAGTGGAACAGGAACAGTCATTCTTATTAATCTTCACAAGGACATGAAAAGAAAAATAACGGACTGCCTGTTTCCTCTAGTCAAATTGTGGCTATGCAGCTTACCACAAAGCATCTGAGTTTCTGTTCCTTTATTTAAAGCTGAGAAGTTTTAGCTAAAGCTGATTCCACTTCCTCCCTCGTATTTTGAGATCCTCAGAAAACTTAGGATAGTCACTTCTTTCAGAAGTACTTTATTTATCCCTCCTTCATTCTTCTAAAATCATAGCGTCTTCCATTCTTCTGAAATTAGCTTTTGAGTATCAAAAAAAAAAAAAATGGAGAGCTTTGCAAAATAACTACCAAGAAAAGGCATTTTAAAAGAGGACTTGGATCTGTGTGCCAAAACTGTGACTTATTAGCAAATGCCACAAAGGCTCTAGGGTCACATAAGCAGATCCAGAGAATAGTTGTGCTTAACTTCACCACAGTGTCTGCCTTGATGCCAGGCCTTTGCTTATGGGATTTGCTGCAAGCCTGGACTTACATTTAACAATGCACATAGAGATGACAGTGAGTCACAGAAGCTGGAGTGGAACTTCTCCACTATTTATGAATAGCATGATGACCTGGGGTTTCTTTCTGGGTTCAGACAGGCCCACAGATTTTGTGATGGTGTTTCCAAGAGCCATCTCCAGACTAGTATTTACAATTTGCATTTTTTCCCCAAGTATTACAACTTTAAAGAAGGTTTTAGCTACCTTTGTGCAAATCATATGTTTCCTTTTGTTTGTTTTTAATTGCCTGGGGAGAGGGGAGCAAACCATTTTCAGGGCAAATGGGAGGCTTGAGTGCTTTGTTGCCCATTATGCCATACCTTCACCTGACATTTTTTACTAGTAAATTTTAATGCTTTTGTGGTTTTTCATTGGTCTGTATTTTCCATTTCTGCATGTGTACCATTTGTGCTGGGCACATCAGTTGGTATTTGTAGCAGATCAGCAACTTGTATGAGCAAGGTATCATTTAACAATATTGACTTACTGCATTAAGAGAAATCCTTTGGGAATTCATTGCTAATGCACTGAAAGCCCATCAGACCTCCTAGTCTGAAATGACCAGCACGTTGTCTGGACACTGATCATCAGGGCATTTTACATACAACCCCCCATGGAGAAATACAGTTCTTTATATACTTTTGCATTCCTGAGGATACAGGGGAGCAGAACACTATGGAAAGTTTGAGCTATTCTTCTGCAACCTGAGTCATCAGTCGAAAAGGAGCCACTTGAGAACTATGTTTGAAGACACCACATTTATGACTCCTCTACAGAGAGTCCAAATAATAGTATGGGGAGATTCGACTAAGTAATTTCAAAGCTGGTAGAGATACCATGGTGGGTATCCACTGTGTTTTCTTTTCCTACATGGCAGG